TTGTATATCGCCCGAAATTATAGCTTATATTTTTTCCTCAGTTTTTGATTCTTTTTATTTATTTCATAAAAAAAATTTTTGTGATACAAAAGCAAATGAAAAGTATTTTCTTACTAATAAAGTGCCCTCATCAATACTTAGTCTACGTTATGTTGAATGTTTTCAGCATGATAAATAATAAGTATCTAAAAATAAATATTTGAAACAAGTTTTGTACTTTATTGATATTTTTTTATTGATGCTTTTCATATTATGAATCAAGTGTAATATAACCTTAGGGTGAAATGTGGTTGTTGGTCTTTACAAGTGAAGCAGTTCCGTTGTCTCTTTTTTAGGTCTTTTGACATAGATTGTGAGAAACAAAAAAATCATTTTATAATTCATTATAGCAATGTTACAATGTTTTTTTTTTTTTTGGGTTGCATTATATTTATACTATCATGGACTCAATTTTGAAATTTTAATATGTCATTTAAGTATTACTGGACTAAGCAATGTGTTGCTTCTTGAACTAGAGATCAATATGTCCCAATCCTTACAATTCTTATTATCGTTTGATAAACAATGAAGATGTAGTAAGGTAGACTGCAGCAAGGAATGTTCAGAACAGCTAGTATGATAAGAGAAACATTTACTGCATATGTTTACTTATTTGTTTATTTGGAGTATTGGTATTATTAATGTGCACGTGCCTGCATCACAAAGTAGGACTGGCGCGAACAAATGTAGAACAGAAAATTATGCGTGTTGGCATATTCCGATCAGCAATATAGGTCATAGTGGAAAAGTCAGTTATCATAATCGAACAAAATTACTGCGATACGAATCAACGCATTGTTCTCTTAAAGCAAATTTTTTTTTCTTCAAACATGCATTTTTGCAAAGTTGTGTAATCTTGCTGCTAAATGAAAGTGCTGGAAATTCTGCAAAAATTACTGTTGCATTGATTGTACATCGTAAGCTATTTTATATATTTCTGCCTTAATGCAGAACATCATTTTACGGAATGAAAATTGTTTTTGAAATGAATTTCATTCAAAAATACAGTTTTTTTTTTTTTTGTAATCTCCGTTCAAAAATGCATTTTTGTAATAATAAGCGAGTTGTAAATAATATGTGAAATTGGCTAAGAATTCCGAAGAAAAAATTCCATAAATAATACGGATTTTTTTTTGAAAACAATAATGAAAGTTGCATCAAAAAACTGGTAATAGGGGAAATACCATATGTTTTAAAATATGTATTGAAAATATCGCTACATTGGGCACGCCCAAACATAGTTCCTGTGGGGGATTTGCCACTTTACTTCAGATGCTGATAGAATTTGAAATATTTTAGTGCTTACTTCTAGGCGAGAAAAATTGATATAAAATAAGCCTCACAGTTATGGTATTGCACTTTGATAATCTTTTTGCATTCATGAAATGTCATAATTCTGCTTTCATGTTGGTATTGATGTAGCAGCATGTCTGAATTTATCGACTTCAGTATTGCTTAATTCACAACTTTCGATTATATTTTTGTATATTCATGTTTGAATACTTCTTTATTCTTCATTTTCTTCTTCAGCATTATAGCTGCCATTTGTGAGGACTACCGTGTGAATTAATGAAGGTAAATTTGATGACTAGAAAATTTGGCTCCGCATAGAAAGCACTTTTCCCAATAAAATAACCGTTTTATATTGTAAACCTGCATCTTCATTATTAAACATTTAATTTTCATACAGTTACATCTAAAAAGAGACAATCTGTAATGAATGTATGACTTTGTTTTGATAATAAATTTTTTTGCCTATAGCGATTTTATTGCCCATAGTAACAGTCTTATTTATCTCAGCTTTTCTCTTTTTTTCGAATGCAATTAAATCAAAATTTATTGGTTTATTCTTATTCAAGAAATGCCTCGCTAGCTATAATTGAAGATTATGTCATAGGTGAGTATTATTTCAAATTGCACTTTTCACTACCATTCACTTATCATAAAACTGTAGGGCCATGGATTTGAGTGGAATAAGAAGATCGTATCACATCCAATTTATGAGGTTAATGTGTGCTAAGTAACTTAGATTTATCAAGATTTATTATGTTTTTAAACTAATGTATTCAAGTCATCGCTTTGTTTAAATAATGCGGGAAGTGCACTGACAGTATTTGTGGCCGAGAATATAGTCACTGACGTATCCAAAAATTTCTCCGAATTTCTATACGGTTAGCAAAATTCTTTGTCATCTCTCCAACTTTTTTCTCAGGAGTTGTAATACAAAAGGTTAGTCGACAATCAAGAACATGCTAAAAGACTTGAAGATGATAAACGCCAAAAGAAATTTCTCAAAATTGTTCTGCTTTTTATGAAATTCATGATGTTTTTACTTTTTGATGATTATTGTATGAATAGCGGAATAATCCCAAGTTTCGCTCGAATTTTTCATCGAATTAAATTTGGACTAGTATTCTTCATTTCAGAGTTTTTTTGCTTTTTATGTGTAGATGCAATACCATATTGTCGTTTTGAACGATTTAAATAAACAGCAAGTTTTTCATGCTGACAGTTGCATTTTTTTTCAGATTTCAAGTGACTGAGTTTTGCTTTACAACTGGAACAACTGAGGAAAAGTTTCGATCATCTGACAAAATTTGTCCGATTTATAAATCTGTTGATATGAGATCTCAAATTGTCTCATCTGCTATAGAAAGTATAACTGCAGTTACATAAGTATAACAATAGTAACATCTATTTTAAGAACACACCTGACATCCCTTCAATAGTCCGGACGCAGCTGGGACTGTTTTTGCTGAATGGAAAGCACTTAAAATTTATTAAATTAATACATACCTCGGATTCTGAATTCATTTAAAATGTCGCTTCATTTGAAAAACTTCATTTTAAAAATCTCGAAAGACAGTTGAAGATTTCAATAAATGAGATGAAATTCCCTATTTTTTCAAAGGGAAGAAAGATTTGCTACAAATATTCTCTTTCTCAATCTACTTGTCATTTTTTGTACATTTCCATTTTCGTTTGATAGAATTAGTAGTCAGTCATAAAAAAAAAAAAAAAAAAAAAAAAAAAAATTTATGACCTTTTCAAAGAAATTCACTAGAATTCTCCATGAAGATTATTGGAAATACTTGCCAGTCTCTTGTTACAAGCTGTCAGTAAGAAATGAAAGTTTTGTGCTCGTCAGTATACCAACATTAATTTTCAGTGCTGATATGACTTGTGAAATAACAATCATTTAGTAAAACTTGATTATTTTATGGATGAAAATTCCTCTGACTAAATAGAATTTGTATTTTTTTTTTTCATTTTTGAGAACCTTTTCTTTATTTTTAGGGGTCTTTTTAAAATCACACCTGCGACCGCATTTTGCATGGCTATTTGACCAGAATATTTAGAACTACTGAAAAAATTATGGATATCGAAAATATTTTACAATCAAAGCTATTTATAGGTTACATGCATCTCTTTTCTTTCCTCCTTTTCATTATTTAATGCACAATTAGTCGTCTTTTTTTTATTTGTCTTCCATTTAGTTAGCTCATGACCTCAAAATGTGTGATACTCTAAATAAGAAACCATTCGGAATGTTATAAACGAATTTAGAAAACACTACATCTTTCAGTCTTCTTTTCTAAAATTCTGAAGTCCTCCAATATTTGCGCATTCCTCGCAGTAACGCAACTTAAGAATAAACTTCGCAAGACAAAAGTAAAATGAAATATAGCTGATTGTAACTGCAGAAAGATTCAGATCGCAGTATTCATTCGCAATGGTTCTTAATTATGAATCGTTTCCCTTAAAGGAACAAACAAGTATTTCATACATTACGAAATATTTCGGCTTAATCTCTTGAATTCAGAAGTCATTTTTTGCATATCTCAGTTGTCCAGGTTCACACACTGTGTTTATTTTGTATAGGGTTATATCCAGTAAAATTTTATTTTAGTGAAATTTTCATATTTGATTTCCAAAATTTGATTATAACACTTCACACATAACATAGAGCAGCAAAAATGACTAATTAAGGTCTACTACTTCCATTGATTTAATAGTTCTTTTAGCATCAATTGACTCATTGATTTTCCGTATAACTCGGTTTTCAATTGAAAGGAAATAACTGAATATCGATTATGATGAATACTTGATATAGTGAAGAAAATGGATCGTAAATAAATATTTTGATTTTGCTAAGCGGTAAAATCATTTCTTTCAGCCTAAATTCATTCAATATAAGTATAAATATGCAACTTAAAAAAATGTGTTTCAAAAGGAACAAAATTCATCGTATTCATTTCTGTAAAGAAGGGATTATGCTAAAAAATCCAGTTAAAACAAAGTTTGGAAAAGTCCCAAAAAAAAGAATATTTTCTGGAAGTTATCTGTAAAAAGTAAATATGTAAAAAAAAATTAATTTCGCAGAAAGAAAAAGGAGTGGCTTTTGTGCGAAGAAAAAATAGCTGCTTTTCATGAGCTACAAATTGTTATAACTTAAATGAAGATAGTTCAAACTTTGCATTAAGGTAGCTATGCTCGTTTATACTCTGTAAATATCAATTTATGATTTTATTTAAATTTACAAGTTATGAGTAAATCTGAAAAAAAGAATGAAAAATATTCTATTTGACTACAGTGTAAATAGACATACAGTAAGATTTTGCAATAATAAGCTGATTAAGAGGTTTTTACTTTTTACTATATAAGCGGAATGCTTCACAGTCAACTTTACTGACATTATGAGGGCACCACGTTCTGTATCTAAATATTGATCATTATCTGTGGAAAACGTTTCTTCTAAAAAGACAAAATATATGAAACAACGAAAGAGTTAAAGACAGACATGCTTTGACATCTAAAGGGTGTGGCTTATTAACTAAAATGTTGTCTAGGAAAGAAGTTATTAATCTACTGTGAAATCAGTTGCCTAAGATTCAAAAAACTGTTGCTTCGTAGTATGTTTGCAGTTATGCGATAAATCCAAAAAGTGGTGGTTGAAACGGATGAATATTATGACAATCAAAGTAAGTAATCACAGTGTCAGTATTTCAGTTTTGTTTTACGTAATTTTAAATAGTGCACAATATATTACTGTATTAGTAGAAGAAATTAATTGGTGCAGGATCATTTTAATACTACGGAAGGTCACAACTTAAGTCAAAAGTTTCATGGAGGGAAAATGAGTCAAATCGGAGTCTGCTCCTGTAAGAGACAAATTTAAAAGGGTCAGTTGTTGTCCTTTGAGCTTCACAAAGAATACAACCACTTCTGCAACAATTGAGCAAACTTTTGAAGTTCATCCTAGATTTAGGATTTAACGTAAGGCTGGCTGAAATTATTGTCAGTGAAAAGCCCATAAAAACGAGGAAGAAAAAAACCAGATTAATAATTCAGTGTAGTGTACATGTCAACAATGTAATTTCTGCACTGAATGTTGTATAGAACCGTATATTTCGAAAAAATTGCAAAAAAAAATTTTTCCAGTTGAAGTATCCAGAGTTCAGGGTAGTGTTTTTTAAAAGCAAAATTTTTTGGCGACATGATCTTATTTCTTGATTTCCAAACTCTTGTTCTTATTCTTACAATTATCTGCAGTTCTATAGACGAACGATACTGTGGATCTCAGAATGCAACACGGAGTGCACGAGTTGATGTACTTTCAGGCCAGAAAAGAGCATTATCAGTCAGAGCATAATCATCCAAAAATTCCATTTTTTTTGTCTCAAAATTTATTTCCATATCAGTAAAAATTGATTGTTACCATCAGCTGAATGTTATTCACATGTTTTGGCAACAACGGTGTCTGATCTAAAATGACTTGTGAAAATTTTTGACCATTTGTATCACGCATGGCAGATCAAAATTTAGGAAAAAATGCATAATTGATTAAAACGCCTTAATTTGCCGCACTGCTTGTGATGCTACTAGTCTTTGTCCTTGAATATAACCAGAAAGTAAAAATTCAGTTGTTTAAAACATCGGCACATGAATTTTACGACTGATTGAGCAATACACTTTATTAAATTTAAATTTATGTTAGACCTGATCCTCTAAGCAATTAGACCTTCAATTCTTTTGTTTCAGTTAAACATGATGGATAAAACTAAGCATAAGGTTAAGCACAAGAATCACTTTTCATAAAAATTACCTGAAGGATATGAAAAAAAAAGCAGTAGAGAAAACATGAGAAATATATTTCAGCATTACATTGAAAAAATATTCGTCAAAAAGTTTTCAGATATTCAACATGCATTTCCCATATAACAAAAATGCAATTTTCGTATAACAAAAACAGTGTTTTCAAAAGTTGGACTAAATAAAACAGATGGTTTGTCTGCTTACACAAGTCAGAACACTTCTCAAGCTTCATTCCACCCATTTGCGAAAACTGATGCATGCTTAAAAACAGAATCCAACACTGGCACAAGAAAACTGAAAATCACATCAGTAATACCAACATAAACATTTGGTTATAAATGAAACTTCAGGATTGAACCGTATCTCAGTTTAGATTAAAGTACATTTGAAAGACAACGCAATATGTGCGAGTACTGATTTAGTGCAAACTGTCGCGGATTTTAATATCGCGAAACTTTAAAATATTACATAGGAGTTGAAAATATGAGTAGGAAATATGTTCTATGAAATCTTGCAAATAATGCTTACAACTCTGTGTTTCCAATCTTATGTTTAGTCTGTAAATCTTTTATCTATTGTTTACACGGTATCAGTCCTTCATTTAGTTGACCTCATTGTTGTATCACTACTAATTGTAAATTATCCATCAATCTACGAGGTTAACAACTTTTACTTAACTATTGTCCTTTACGGCTTGTCAACTAGTAATTAGATTTGCTTGTAAACCAGGTCAACAGCTCATTGTTAGATCGATTACTCTTTCGGCAGGTCAACCTCATATTGTAAATCATATACTTTGTTTATGCACATTGCTTGCTATATAACGAGGTCATCCTTGTTGAGAAGGGGCATTGTGTGTTTTTACCGAGAACCAGAAGAATTCACTTCAGTTGTTCTCTATCAAGTTATTATTGTACTACTTCTGCTAAGAAAGACATTATCTATTCCTGTGTTACACAAATATTTACATATACATCTAACAATCTTTCCGAAATCAACCTCTCCAAATTAATAATTAAATTTTCAAATCTTCTACGACACAAACATTTTTAAAGAAAATGCCCATACCCTACAGTTATAGTACCTGTAATATTAATTGATGAAATTAATATCATACAACAAAATACCACTTATTCATTGTTTTTTCCACGTTTAGTTCTCCATTACAATCTATTTAGTTTTTATAAAGTTGGAACGCAGCAGGAATTCCTTCAACTTTGTTCAGTTTATCATAAGCCTTTTTTAATTGCCGAAGTTGCGATGCATGGAATAATATATAGACACCGCTTTTTTCTTTAAAAAAAAAGTATAAATTCAGTTAGTAAGGAGTTACTAACGTCAAAAAGGAAATCATTTTTTGAACTGAATGGTAAGGTTGAAATCGCCATTATTTTACTTTCACGGTGGTCCGCTCACATTTATGGGTAAATAATCATGAAGTAATAAACACAAATCTGTAACAATAATTTCTGAAATCCATGAGTCCAATACAAAACGAATGAAGGATTTTGACTGCATCAACATGACATTTATTGTATATCCGTTAGCAGAAGCAGTTCAAGTTAATGGTTCCGCACTCAAAATCCACATTTGTTGCCTTTCGTTTGTTTTTGTATTTAATTTGTTGTTGTCCATTTGGAAATGTACCCATAAGGCCATAAGCCAATAGCTCAATCTGGCACTCTATCTTATGCGTTAATAATTTCTGGTTTTCTGCGCATCAGTGGGTATTCTTTGCCTATGGTCTATACAACCAGAAAGCAATGATTAGCCAGAGACTAATCCAATGAGTTCTCGTGATGGCCTTTCCAATAATTAATGTGTTTAAGACTTCGACAATATAATTATTGGAGCATACACAATCATTCATGTGGTACAGCAGCGCACTAACTAATTCAAATCCAGAACTCACTCATGACGTTTTGCTTTACTTAAATCTAAGATTTGCCACGACATAGATAAACAGATACTGCCAGGAATTATTTCATGGTCTTAGTTCGGGATGCGGATCAGAAAAATTTAGACAAAATAACACACTGCACAGTTCTAGCAAAGATCTAGTTAAATAATGTCTAAGATTCTTACAAGATAAATTAACAAAAACGTCACCATTCATAATATGTACCGATAGTCGCAATGAATCAAATAGAAAAACCTCTATTCTTGGTTCTCTTCCTCTCCATATTATACATCGAAAAAAACTATTCCACTTAGCGTTTACTTCGACTGTTCCAATAATGTTGTGTAGATCAGTTAATTCTTGTCTCGGAGGTAGTCTGTATATTCAATTTCAAGACGAGAGGGGTCTGATTTGGCATGCTATATAACCCTGAATAACTGTGCCAATTTTCGCAGTATTGATAACTATTTATAGTTAATGCAAAGAAGCACACTTACTTAAACTTTAAGAATGCAAAGTGACTTTCATGGTACTGATACATTTTTAATACTTATTCTGCAATGCGTCCGCCATCAAATTGCCTTTACCAATTCATTGAAGATAGACCACATGTCTAATCTCCTCTTTATCAAAGTGATTACGTTATACTTGTGCAATCCAGTACTGTTAACAACAAAATGACATACTTTTTAATCAAGAAGTAAAACAAAAGCTCAGAAAATGCAAAATAAATTCCGAAAAACTATAAAATTACAAAAGAGAAGAAATTTCATTCATAAAATCAGCATAAGCCTCATCTGTATCTTTCGCTTCCTTCCTTTGTGCTGACTCGATTTGTATTCCCATCATATTGAATCTGAAATTGATTTCTGTCCAAAACTATATGTGAACTTATAAAGAAAGTTTGGAACCAAATCGTTAAAAAAAATACTTGTTAATGGTCTTTTTTGGTTGTTGCTTGCTTCGATTAACTCGAAGTGCTGTTGGTACAAATTTTGTGACTTCTTTTGTCAAATCTCTCAATTTTGGTTCTGCTGAAATTGTAGCTTCGCCGCTATCTTTCATTGGAGCTCCTCCTGTTCGTCGAACTACTGGCTCTGCCGATATTACAGAACTGGTTCCTGGTGGACGTATAAACGGAATCGGCATCCCTATCATAATGAAAGAAGATATTTCTTTCAATAGACAATTTTCAATCACATTATATCACTTTCAAAAAAGATATCAGATATTAAACAGCGGTTATCACGAAACTTCCTCTCTAAAAATGAAATATTACACAAGACGTACGAAAGTGAGGTGGAGGAGGAGGAACGCGGAGAGGAAGACGAGGAGGAGGTGGTAACATGTTGGGAGGTAACGGTGGTGCACGTAACAATGGTTGTTGTGGAATAATAGGAGCCAACATTGATACAGATCTCGCATTATCGACATCTGTTAACTGGTTATGTTCCAATACTTCCATGGGAACTGCAATATTAACATGTGAGAGAAACACGAGATGTTCATCCAGTACATAAGAATTTACCAACATAGCTATTGTTTCTAGGCAAGGAAAAACTTTCGTTCTCAAAAAAAAAAAAGTGTTAACATTACTTTCAACAGGGCCGAAATCATCATCAGCTGCTTCAACATTATCCCTTATAAAACTGTTTGAAACATCTTCCTCAAACCGAACGCGTCTTTTGGAAGGCATTTCATCATTATCGTCATCATAACAAATTAGCGGAGGTAAGCCGCAAGGAGGTCCTGGTGGTTCTGTCCGGTCGCTGATATCACGGGTGATGTGTGCATTTTTAAGAATGCCAGTTCGTGCTTGAGGCATTAAAAACTGAACCGGTATGACAGGTGTTACAGGTGTCATTGCTGCATTGGGTATTGAACTACCATCTGGCAATGGAATTTCCACAGGATTGGCTTCTAGCGAAAATCGTAATGCATCTAAAACTATCCTCAGTAACACTGTATACAAATGATATAAGAATGGAACTGTGTTTCAAGTTTCTGACTGTAATTTCAAGTTTTCACGGCTGATGTATGCATTTTTAAGTTTAAAACATTCCTAAAGAAAAAAGACCAGGTCAAAGAACTCACTATACTGTTGTATTTTTCGAGCTCTTTCTGCTTCGTATTGCAACATTTTTTGTTCCAACTCCCTCACTTTATCTTCTCTTTTCTCCTGCTTGTATAAATTCATTACTTCGTTATAAGTCTGTTTAAATTTGATACGCTTCTCGTTGAAAACATATTTGCTATGATGCTCCACATGTATATCGAACTCTGAAATGGTCATACTCAGCTCTTCAAGAAAATACCCTGGTCATTCAGTCCCTAGATAATAAAATGCACAGATTATTTCCTTTCCAACAGCACTTTTCTGTATGGCGATTTCTGATCCAAATGACTGCAGTTATCCGAAAGACTAATACACCGCTCCCCACAAGTGGACCTTCATATCTCGGTTACTGTGTAAGAGCTCCCTGAAAGAGTTAGCTAACAAGTTACCTCGTTTAATCCATTAGCAGAAGATATTCTAATGGAAAAGAAGATCAGTAGATCATTTTATGAACAAGAAATTTTTTTTGGTACCTTGGTCATCCAAACGCGATAAGTTTTCCAAGATTTCATCGACGTCTTTACTTTTTAGTATTGCATGCCGAACCATGGTCCTTTGTTTCCGATTTCTTTTAAGCTCTTTTTGCCGCATACTTTTACGTTCTTGATCAGCTGGATTCATAAATCTACCAGACTTCGTCGTACTACCCGGCCTTCGTCCCATTTTTCCCCTAGAAATTAAGCTTCCAATAAAAAATAACATACTCTTAGACCAAAACCTCATAATCTTTAAACCACCCAAATCACAACTAACACCTCCTCATCGTATACCTTCCCAAATCAAGATCTCTGGGTGCATGAAACCAAGCCACAACCCTGTGAAACTTATGGTCCCATAGCTCCACACGTAATTGGTTGAGTGGCACTGATTCAGCAACGTGCGTGAATCTGACTGAGACACTCGTTTTATTTTTCCTTGTTGTTATTATCTTTATTTCTTCCCCGAAGAGGGACTGTAACTATTTTGAGGTTATGAGGATAGGATGGCAGAGCTTAATAAAGCTTAGTCGTAAAAGACAACCTTGCACATTTCCAGTAATTTTAAGTAACTAAGTCTTTGTGATGTTCTTTGAAACCATTTTTAACCATCTTTTGCCACCCATACTTTTACCACTCATATATGTAATGGTTCTTTTGAAACTACAAGACCAGTCGCAACTTTCCGATTCTTCACGACTCTTTTTCATCACTGCATCCAATTTAGTTTGATTTTCGCCCCGAATATTTATGCAGATAATCTTTCCAAATGTTTTAAGCATTAAATTCATCTCTTACATACTATTATCATTATGCCAAACTTTAGATATTACCAAATCTCTGTAAAAATTGCTGCGGTCGCTAGTAATTCACTATCACTATTTATGTTTTGCACTGGAAATGCCCGAGGTTTTTGTTTTAGAAGATGTTGAGAAATATTTTCCGTCCTGTTCCGTAACGATGGAATCAGATTGTTTTTAAACAATGCAATGCGGCAGTATACTTTTGGTCATTAAATTATAAATATGTCCCTTTATTTACTACTCTTCTTATTTCTGTCATCTTTCTCTTACAAACAAGAAACCTTGTGTATTGTACCGTTGTATAATGCATACCAATCATTTCTCTTTTTAATCTTTCATTAGTTTATAATAATTTACTCTGAGCAGGTAATAAGCAGTTAGGAATAATTGAATGAGTTGAGCGAACTGCGTTATTGATATTGAAATACCGTCAACAAGTTTCACGTTATCATTAATGTGTTTTTCATTTATGAATGGAATACTGAAATTATGCTCTTGTCAACCATATGACTAAATGTCTGTATTCATTTCTTTACTGACATATTTTCACATGCTAGCTTTGTGATGTCAAAATTCGAAATCGGCTAAATTCAAAGATCGCAATGTTTCATTCAATAGAACTCGCATCTTACTGATTACATTCCATTTAAAATTTTACCGCTTTAAAAATCATGAATTCAGAGCGTATATAGTTCTTTTTGGATAATAGAAGTGTGAATTTATTTTCCAACTTTTTATCGTAAGGAAGAAACAAAAACATTTTTAATTCTAATGTAATACTGTAGATTAAGTTTTAACTTTGTTCTTAGTATATACAGATTTTTCATTATTGCATTGTTAATGTCCAAATAGAATAATGACATTAAAAACTCTTTCTCATTATCGCTGTGAACTATTGATCCCTGTTGATTATAATTACAAATGTGAAAAAAAAAGCTGTCATCAATGGAAATAATTGAAGCTCTACATCACTTACCTAGAGTTAGAGAAATTTCGGGCATTCATAGTTCATACTTCGACAAAGCCGTTCCTTTCTCATGATCGATACTTTGTACCAGCCTTACGATGACCTGATTGACTTCAGCTAGGTTTAATCGACTGTGACTGAAGTCTAACTGAGAAAAGTGCTTTGATCTCCACCACACTCGTTACTTTCTCAACAAGATGACTAATCGCTAAGAATGAGCATGGTCCTCCTTTATAAAAGAAAGAGAAATCACTAGTCGGTTTTGTTTATATGGGCGATCATTTTTAATTAGATTTCGATTATTCCTCTCACTGACAGTTTTTCTTTTGTATTTGACAAAACCACCCGTTCCATTGAGTTCAAAAATACGCCATTAACAAAGGGAACGCATATGAATATGATCTTTTGAATGAATAATCCTATGAACTTGACAGGGTCATCTTAAAATTCCCTAAAACGATCAGTTTAGGCATTAGTATGGAGGTATTTAGTGGTGAACTCATTAAAGTAAGTAAAAAAGTAGCTTGAATGTCTTATGCATCCACACCAAAACAAGTCTTTTCAAAATCTGTTATCAGCAACAACAGTAAAATTGGAATTTGACATTTGAAACAACAAGCAGTGAAATAACTGACAAAGCATACTTACGCAAATTTGCGAAAGATCCAGTAACTGAAGATGAAACTTTCGATTCCATTTCTTAATTGTATTCTAAGGTAATATTAGTCCTAGTATCTATTTGTTGGATACATCTTTTCATTGCTTTTAATCTTCATTCTTTGCATAATGCATTTTAATAAAATTTTGAAGCACTACTTATTGATGACAATATTTACTATTTTTGATAGACCAATGTAAATATGTTTGCATTTATTCATAAACTTCTTAGAAGCATGCAGTGAGTGGTTCAATAATTTTTGCAATTTAAATGGTTGTTTTGTGTTTAAATGTAGCAAAAAAAAATTAAATGTAGCAAATCAACCTTTTATAATGTTCTCACATTATAAAAGGTTGATTTGTTTTCTGATATTTGATGCTTACTGCAGAAGCATAGTATCATTTAATCCTTCAGAATCATATATCATAATGGTGAGCATCCAATGAGAAACTTTTTTATTCATTTAATTATTCATTTGACCCTCATCGTTTTTATGTTTTCTATCCTGTTGCCCATTACATTTTTAATTTTTTCTTAGATTAATTTAGTGTTATTTTAATTTTAATATCTTATGCATAATTTTCCGTGTTATTGCAATAACGTAGATTTCGGACTTATTTTAAGTCTTTTCAAAACAAAGCTTGTAAACTGAACTGTTCATAAATATTCGATCTAATATTTTGAATCATCACAATTTCAATGTTTGGTTGCGATTTTTACTGAAATCGTTTTTCAGAACTTTGAATTTCTTATGCCTAATTTTAAGTTCTACGATGTGATTTAAATTATATGTAGCATTCGTTATAAAGTCGTCATTTACTTACATTGTCTGCAAAACCTATTAGTTAAATAATAACTGAAACTCTGCACGAAAAATCCGAAAATGGAATTTCTATGGCCTTATAGCTACACGAAAACAGTAAGGAATCATGTAAGTTTCACTTTATCTGAAGGAACATTTTAAAGAGTAACTGAAAATCTGGTTAAACGAGCAATCTACAGAAGCAAGTTTCTCTGTTGTGTTCGAAGCATAAGAGGACCACATTATAAAGCAAGTATCACTATGACAAAATGCTAATTATTTTTCTTTCTTGAAAACATCTTGTGATTACTTATATTCGATTTATTTGACAAAAATTTATCCTTGGAAATGAGGAAGAATAAAACTGAATGAAACTGCTTCCCATATTTCAATCGTTTCGATTTCCTCGAATTTATACCTTCCAGACAGATCTGAACTAAAATCTTGAGACTTATTTGAACCATTTTATTAACCAAGTGGCTGCTCCTCATCAGAAATATCACAGTTAAATTATTGATGTCAATTACATACCAACACACATCTGTTCTTAATCTAACATGTGATTCAGAATTGGCTTACCTCAAGCTAATTCGTAGCACTGAATTTCAAAAATTTTTGTTTTCATGTACGAATCTTTGTTTCAGTATGTTAACTAATTACGATTGTGGTTTCTCTCTTCGAAGAATATTCTTCACACTGATATTTGTAAGGTGCTGAATGATGAAATTAATATCTGAAATGGGCATAGTAGTGGTGGTGATAATTAAAGTGATTTGACCGACAATCTCATCGCTGACGATTCATCCAGTTCGGTGACCTAGCCGCTGTCACCACGCCCTTCTCTGCCCGTTTTTGTGCATCTTCACAATGACAGGACTGCGTAAATCATAAGGAGAAGGCCGAGTTAAATGAATTGAATCCATCAAAGAGATGTTGCATCACTTCGAACATTTCGTTTTCGCTCCACTCGGATATCAAACACCTTTGCACAGTTAACCGATTGTAACAATTCAATTTGTGATTGGGCCACAGTACTTTTAATCATTTTATGATTCATTTTCTGGGTTCTTTTATCTTCTCCATAACCATCATGATTTTCCGTTTTCCGTTATAGTGTTGGAGGACCATGCTCATAGTATATGCCTGGCTATCCGCGAGCACTACGACCATCCATAATTACTTTTTTAGGATCTTTAACCTTAACTTCTGATTTTTGATTGGGTACATAATTTTTGCTGCTTTCATTACAATCAAATAGTCTCACTACCCCAAACTTTGAAAGGAATTCCCAACAACTTTATAGCATTGTCAAGAAAAACAGATTTACCTAATTAAAACAAAATTGAGAATTTGAAATTTCTAATGGTACTTTCAACTACTACTGATGTTATTCTAAATGCATTTCGCAATACCAAGCAGTAAGTAAAAAAAAACATGATCTACTAATTTCTTCGCTGTCTTCCAGTCCTAATATTTATCACAACACTTTGGTTATTTCTTTTCAATAATTCTTTCAAGTCGTCTAAAAATATAAAACCAGAACTTAAATGCGTGTGGGTTTATTCAAGCCAATGATGTAAATTTGTTTAGCGACGGTATCAGCTAATATTTATACGAAATATAAGAGTGATACAATAATGGACAGGCAAAAACTTTTTGTCTGGTTTTAGAAACCGAACGTCTTACCCTTTTCAGACAACTAGTCAAGCCTATGAAGGTATTCAGGAAACTATACATTATCCTATTTTTCTTCAAAAAATTTGTTTGCGCTTTTTTCACCTCCCTTTAAAAGCACACATTCAGCTGTTTTTTCTACACCTGTCCTACAATTAACTGAAAATTAGCCCAAGAAAAAGTACTAGAAGTTTCAAGAAACGACAGTTCCTTAAATGCAGTAGGAGAAGTAATGAATCCCTGATTTGCAGTTTTTGAATTACATGAATTGTTGTTCGGTTTT